AATCAGACGTCTGAGATTTGGTACATTTCTATTATTTCTGAAGACTATTTACATATATTCAAGACTCAAATCAACCCCTCAAAATGGCACATCTATCCCTCTGAATGGACTCTTCAAACTGATTATATACAGTGATGAAAATTGAAAATAAATGAAGTTAGTATTTTGTATTTTGTAGGGCGGCTACGATAGTACTAAGGGAAGATAACTGTCATTTTTTACGAGTTGATAAAGAAGATTTTAATCGTATTTTACGTGTAAGTTTTTCTTTACGCTATATCGCAAGACCTCATCTCATGCTGCTGACATTTTTCCTAAAATAAAATCCTCATCAGGGCAAGTGTTTTGGAGATATGGTTATGTCCCCTGTCAGTGATGTCGGTAAGAGGGGCTGATATGTAAAAGTGTCTAGTCGTTCAGATGGGACAATAAACTGAGGCCTCGTGTACTACAGGCTGTACATGTTAAAGAGAGAGAGAAGGAATATGTCGCTGTCCTGACAAAATTTCCCTCATTGCACACTGCATGGTGTTACCCGTCTTCATAAGCCCAGTAAAACATTTCATTTCATTTTTAAACTTTATTGCTATTGACCTACAGGCTGTGTACATTAAAGATTCCTCGACACTTGGAAATGGAAAAAGAGAAGGCTAATGTTGCTGTCCTGACAAAATTTCCCTCATTGCACACTGCACGGCATTGTCCATCTTCATTAGCCTATATGGTGCAGAAAAGCAGGATGTAAAACTCCATTAATTTTATTTTGAATCCCTGTAAAACTATATTAGTTATGTATATATGTAAATTTTTGGGATATTGACCTCTTGACCTGACCTTTGACCTGTAGGATGTAGAAGCGAACACAGTGAGATTAAAGGAACATGGACAAGATGTTTTAGTTTTAGAAAAAATTCCAACTAACGTCAAATCTCAAGATGGTTCTGTCCAGTCACATTACAAGTAAGTATATAAACCACAATGTTTAGGGAGCCACGGTGGCTCAGTGAGTTAGATGCTTGCTTGCTAACCAGAAGGTCCGGGGTTCAATCCCATCATAGGTTGAGATAATACCTTCAGATTTTTCAACCCAGTTTCCCCTGTCAGTTATGTAGGTAAGAGAGGCTGACATGGAAAAAGCGTCTAGTTGTTCAGATGGGACAATAAACCGAAGCCCTGTGTGCGTTAAAGATCCCTCGACAGTTGGAAAACAAAAAAGAGTAGGCTAATGCCACTGTCCTGGCAAAATTTCCCTCATTGCACACTGCGTAGGGTTGTCCGTCTTCATTAGCCCACAAGGAAGCACGGCACACACAAGATTTTACTCAAGACTCTAAACAGCAAGAAAAATCTCCGACCAAAGAATGATAATTTGTAATTAATAATACGTTGTTTTTTTTAAGATATTCTGTAATGGCGGGTACACCAGAGAAAATGTTAGAACATCTTCTAGAAACAAGATTAGATAATAAACAAGATGAAAATTCAGGTAGGGCTATTATTTCATCTTTCAAGACGTTTCAAATACTTTTAGATATAGTCCAGTCAACCATTCAGAGTCTAAGTCAAGGGCAATAACTCTGAAACTGTTCATCAGATTATTACTGA